AAAAGAAAAAAAAATCAATGATAGTGTTTTTAAGTTACATAATTCCCTCTATTAGATTTTGTTTTGTTTTTATTCTCACTTAATAATTTGAAACATATTTATATCCAAATTTGTGTCTTCTTAACCTTTCTTTTCCTATATAACTTGTTCCTTTACACTTACTCAGGAGTCTCATTTTCTAAGCTTTTAATCAATATTTCTACTTTCTTCTGATTTCTAATGTTACTAGTTGTCCTCTAAAAATGTGGCCATCTTCAAGCAGAAAATAAATATCACCTAAGCTCTTTCAAAGCAATATATTTATTCTTTAGATTGATTAATATGATTCACTGGTCTAGTGAGTGAATTTGCATAATAACAAGCAATCGGTAAATGGCATAGTCCAGCTGAGCTATTCTTTTTAAGCATTTCTATTCACTGTTCAGATTTAAATGCTTTATAATCATTTTTGTTTGATATTATTCACAATAAAATTTTGAAATAGGTCAATATCAAACTCACAGAAATCTAAGTTTTTCAAATATACTATATAATTAAGCTTTTATATTTCTCCAAGTTATTACAGAGGCTACCCTGAACAATACTGGAAGAAGAAATTGGTAGTGTCACTCTATAAATTTGTACATAAGTGTTGGAACATTTCTAAGGACTACAAGAGGTAGTGCTAAGTGAAAGATGAGTGCTAAACCTTTCGTATGAAGTTCACCTGGCAGCCTCAGGTACAGCAAGTATTGATCCAAAGCCAAGAACCCCAGAGCTCTCTGCATACAAATTCACATTGCAAGAAGAAGCCCTAAAACAAAATTCCAGACACAGTCTCCTTCACAATTAAGATGATTCAGCTTCCCTATCCAGCCTCTATAACCGTCTCCAATCCACTTCCCCACTAATTCTGCCCCTTCTTCTGCCACCTGTTCTAACTCCAACTCTTACTTAGCATTAACTCCTAACCATCGCCTGGGTTTAGACCTATGTGACTTCACCTAAGGATTACTCCATTTAACTACACATCAGTTTCGAAATGCCCCACACTTTGGCTTCTAAAACATCTCCTTATCTGGTTGCCTTCATTTTCTTCTTCCTTTTTTTTTTTTTTTTGCCCTCCACAAACTCCTTTTATGCCACCTGTTCTTGATGGGCCGATATTCTTCTGTAGGATGATATATCTTGACTCTTCTCTCCTCAGTCTATGCTCTTCTGAGGTGATCTCATCAACCACAAGAGCTTTAGGCTGCACTTCTAAACCTTTCACATGTTTCTTTCTCCAATCTGGACATTTCTTCTGAGCTGAAACATATATCCCTGATGCCTATTAAACATATCCCGTGGATACTCCATAGGCACGGTTAACCTTATGTATCAAAAAAGCACTTCTTCAAATGTTTCTCATTCTGAATCTTGGAAAATGGTGTCACCATCCACCTAGTCAATCAAGCCAATAAGGCCAGAATCATTCATGAATGTTCTCTGCTTCACTTCCCATATTTGATAAAACTTTATTTCTTCAAAATATTTGAGAACCTACTATGTACCAGATATTAAGCCAGGTGCTAGACATACCTCAGTAAGCAAGGTAGATACCATTCCCATACTCATAGAATTTACATCCTAATGGGATGTATAAAGAGGTTTTTCACACTGTAGTGTATGTGAAAAACATTCCTAGGAGTTCGGCAATATAAAATCTCTCGAGCTATATATCCCACAAATACAATATCAAAAGAGCAAAAGTAATATGTTCATTTTATTTTGTATTCCTGCATTATTTTCTTCCTGGAATGCCATAATAGCTCTCTAACCAGTTTTCTGTCTTTTTTATTTCCTAGTCCCTATCCTATTTATCTGATCTGATGTAGCCAGGATAATCTTTCTAAAATTGCAAGCTGACCACAACTTTATCACGCTCAACTTAGCTATGGGATACAATCATAAATCCTTGAACTGGCCCATAAAGACTTTGCTGATGGAACCTCTCTGTACTCCATTTCTCCACCATATTCTCTGCTGTGGCCATGCTAAGATCCTTGCAAATCTCCATGCCAAGTATGCTCTCTCGTGGCTCCATGCCTCTACACATGCTCTACCATAAATAATCCTCTCCAACTGAATAAGTTCTACTTACACTTCACATTCATGCTGGCATTCATCTCTCTATAAAATCTTCCTTAAAAATCATTATAGTCCCATTGGTGCCCCACCTTTCTTTTCTCATTTCACCTTGCCATTTGCCCATCATATTACTTATGGAATCAGATTATAATCATGGATTTGCCTTTCTTTCCTGCTAGACTTTAAACTTTTGAGGGGCTGAGCCCCTAGTTTGCTCATTTCCATGTTTTTGCTTTCTACAACAGTGCCTTGCATGTAGGAGTCCTTCAGTAAATATTCAGTGAATAAATTAATTGGTGGCAAATAGTCTATCTTGCATAATGATACTGGGTTCTTCCTCAAACATTGTGTTATGAAGTCCTACCTGGCTCCGAAGAGACAATGGTTCCCTAACCTATGAGACCAACTCATCTTCCCTGTGCATTCCAGGCCCTTCACAATGTCCAACAGGAGAGCCCTTCTGAAAAAATGGTAATCTTATATTTCCTTCAAAGTTCAAGACTCACTTCCTCTAGGGAAGCCTTCTTTATTACTTCAATAGAAGTAGTATTTTCTTACTTTGAACTCCCAGGGTTTTAACACAGAAATGGGTATTTGCCTATACTCTTACTAAGAAACTTTTCTATGTATATGTACCCCTTTTTACCAAAACAATTTCTCAAAGGTCTTATGAATAAAGACTCCTCTCTGAGTTGTCTCTGCTACTTCATGAGTGCAAGTATGGCAGATATTGAATATATTCTTTTATTCTGTTATCCTTGAAGGAATGAATAAAGAATCACTCTGGATTCTGCTCCCAAAGTGTTCTAAAACTACTCTCACAGACGTAACTATTTTCTGTTTTTGTCTTACTTGGTATATCAGCATTGGTCCATCAGAGCAGACCACTCTCTTGAAAGGTAGACTACACTTAGCTTCCATACACTATGCCCCTCTGATTTTTCTTCTGTATCTCTGGCTACTTTCACATACAGCTGTCCTTCCTTTACCAAACCATTAAATATTTGGTTCCTCAGGTATGTCTCCTCCCCGGGTCCATTTCTCATCTTACTCTTCACATATAGCCCAAATTCAATCTGTGCTTTTTACAACTTCGTCTTAGAGAGTGGAAAAGTAACTTCACTTTGTTTAAAATGTGCAACAGCGTGTTTCAAATGAGCATAGTTCCTATCATTATAATGAATACAGGGATATAGAAGAGAAGAGCAAACCACTGAATAATTTGAGAAAAATACTCAACAGATACATGGCATAAAAAGGATGTTTATAAAGACCAGACAGACAACGTAGATGGCCAGAGCACTTAAAGGTTATTTTGTTCTGTAAAATGCAACCTTGATTCAGATCATGTGAGTGAATACAAACTCATTTGTGCTTGTGTGATTTGGCTTTAAACCACTGGAGAGAATATTTGCGCATTTACCCCAGCAAAAGTTGTAGCAGCCTCCCTCAGGCAGAAATGCTTAAGTGTCTGATGATGTCAGTGACTTGCTTAAAAGAGGATAAAACAACATACCCTCAGGCAAGCAAGAGGATTTAAATAGAGCCAATTTAGGAAGTATGGTGCCTCAGCAAATTCAGAAATTAATTCAAATTAAGACATTTTGCTTTAAGATCTATGTCAAAAGATCAGTTCTTCAATTCTAATTTAGAAGTGGAGGAGGGGTGGGAGGAAGGAGTCAAAATGTATATTCCATAAAAATCTTTCTGTGTTCCAAAGTATACATTCAAAAATTACAGAACAAAAATCACCAGCATGCATTATTTCAAACTGATAGAAATGTGAAGTTAATTTTTTTTTTTTTTTTAAGAAATCAAATGGGACAAACTGATGGTTACCAGAAGGGAGGTGGGTGGGGAATGGATTAAATAGGTGATGGGGATTAAGGAGTGCACTTGTGATGAGCACCAGGTGTTGCATGGAAGTGTTGAATCACTACATTGTACACCTGAAACTATATTACACTGTATGTTAATTAGAATTTAAATAAAAACAAACAAAAAAAGAATTGGCAGTATTTCTGAAAATGGGTGTGAAGAGATAGAAATCAAAACAGAAGGACCAAAAAATAAAAATTAAAAAAATAAATAAATCAATTGGGAATGGGGAGGATTGTAATTTATTCTAATATAAAGAATCTAGAAATTTAGATATGTCTGAAACATGTTTCTGTCTTTTGTAGGATACAGTTTGTGATAAATTACTTGTTCCAGCAGTTATTTAATCTGCAAGCTTCATCTAGAACACTGACACATTTCTCCCACGTATGGGGAGTAAATTATTGACCAAAGTCCCTGGGTCTCTAAAGCAAACTTGAGAGTGTAATTGAAACTTTATTACGGCATACACCTATTCAGTCTAGGAGAAACTAGATAGTGATCTTTTTAGAGCCCATAATTGTGTTCTGAAAGCTCAACTTTCACAACTGAGCTCAACAAACTCCCAGAGACAGACCCATAAGAAAATTATATGAAGGAGAATTATATGAAGGAGAAACATTACATCAAGTGATTTCATGTATAAAAACACACAAATGTGAAGGGCATGTGATGTGGTGAGCACTGGGTGTTACATGCAACTGATGAATTACTGAACTCTACATCTGAAACTAATGATGTACTATAGTTGGCTAATTGAATTTAAATTTAAAAAACCCCACATACCAACAGCCTTGTCTGAAATACTATCCATTTTGCTCACTGTTATTCCTGAAAATCATTGCTTATATGGACACAGGATATCTATGGTTATAAATCTCTTGGCAACGTATTACTGAGATTTGTTTAAAATGGTTTTAGCAACAACGATCTTCATCTCTCGTATAAATATGTATTTCTTTATGACCTTCATGAAGAACTTAGAAACGCTGAAAATTGTAACGTGACCTTACCTTGCTTCCATTTTCTCTTGCCTCTCGTTCCATCTTGAGGTCAGAAATTAGGAGATTCTTATATTTGTTTTTTCCATTACTGCTGTGGTCATCTATTGTGTATTCCGAAGTCAGATGTGCTGAGAGGGGACTGTCACTCAGGTTCAGAGGCTGCTCCTCCTGCCCCAGCCCAGTTTTGCCATCACCATTGGAGTCACCCATCTCCCTGTTGTGTGTTCCCCCTGAAGCAACTGAACTGTGCCCCAGAGTCTCATTGCCGTTAAAGCTCTCCGCAGCAGAATCATCTGTTGGAAAGAATAGTGTGATTTTAATTAATGTGCCATTCAGTTTCTACTTCAACTAACATTTACTGAGCTCCTATTATGTGCTTGGCATTGTGGTAATTTTACATCTCCTGTGTAATTTATCCCTACAAACAAACTTGTGAAGCAGTCGTTATTTGTAATCTAGTAGGCACGTTTAGGCACAAGAAATGAAGTAAAATGATAAGAAGAAGATAAAAGAGGGAAAACAGTCCAATCTCAAATGCGATCTCAAAGAAAAGCAAATTGAGACAAAGAAAACTTGTTAATTAATTTGCATAGAGTTTGTTTTTCTAGTGAGAATATCCAGATTTGGTGAAAATTCTCTGATAAAAGCATTATTTATCCTGCTAGTGGGGTGTATGTTGGTTCAAGCTTTATGAGTGTTTAATATGCATCTAAAACATTAAAAGCGCTCATAACCTTTGCTCCAGTCATTACACTTCTGGGACTTCATTGTGTGCATTTCTGTGTAGGTAAAAAGGCCTTTATATCAGTGTTGTTTATAATAGCAAACATCCAGAAGTGACAGAAATTACCAAAAATAAAAAATTGGCTCAATACATGTTGGAATGATTAGAATATGGGAAATGTGGAATATTTTTCCATTAATATTAATGGGAAGTGTGAAGTGTTAAATGGAAAAAGCTAGCTACAAAAATGGTCAAATGATCCCAATTTTCTAAAAAGAAAACACATACCCATATAGAGGGAGAAGAGTGAAAATATGTAGGCTAAAATGTTAATATTAATTTCTTCTTAACTGGAATGGCACTAGATTTTTAAATATTCTTTATTATTTACAACATATATAATTTTCTAATAACAAAAATAAAATAACTGTAGGAATAAAAACATAAATAAATAAAAAGCAAAACAGGGAAGAGAAGAAACAAAATTAGTCAAAATTTTCTGGCTTTAAAATAAATGATAAGCTTGTTTAGAAATACACACCAATAACAATTAGAGTAAGAAACAAAATTTACATGAAACAATAAAATTCTATTTCTCTTAATTTCATTTTTATATTAATTTTAAAGGATTATGAAGGACGAAGGTGTTCAATTGTTTCCTTTAGTTAAGGGTTATTGATGAAGCCATATAAATATGAGTGCGCAAGAGTAATATTTTGATTTCTGAACATTCTCAAGTTTGCTTTATTTTTGTAGGATGCAATGAAATATTTAATGCCTTCTAATCAATTAAATTCATGAAAATAATATTTAAATTCTGAAGGAGTGGTATCATTCACCTGTTCATTCATTTATTCAACATTTATTGAATACCTACACTTGGCCAGAAGGGGGTTAAATAATTTGGCCAACAGAGACTCTGCCTTCAATGAGTTCACAAATAATTAAAAGACATGAAAAAAACAAACAAACATGCAACTAAAATGCAGAGGAAAAAGGCTTTGATTCAAAACAAGGGGGTAAGGACACCACAGAAGTTTTCCTAAAGAAGGTGGCATATGAGCTGAATTTCAAAAGATGAGTAAGCCTTAACCAGGTGAAGAAGTTGGGGGACAGCGTTTGCAACCTAGAGATCAGTAGGTGCAATATCTTCAAGGACAGAATGTGCAGGGCAGATGAGAAATAAGGTTGGGGTGTTGAGTGCAAACAAAACAGTCAGAAAGGGAAACCTAGATACGGAGGCAGAGGATGTGCTTTGTATAATCAAGAGCTTGGCTTGGACCTTGGGAGCAAATAGGAGCAATTTTATTGTTGGAGGTGATATAAAAAAAAAAATCTTTTAAGGAGATTACTCTGACTCTTATGAGGAGTTTGGGATGATGGTGACAAAATGGAAAACCGTTAAGAGTTCTAGAAGCCATCTGAATCAGCATTGTTGAAAGCCCAAACTAAAGCAACAATAGTGTAGAACAAGCGGGGACTAGAATAATCATAAGAAAAGAACAGGTAAAGACTGAGAGTAGGACAGACGAGGGTCCAGGAGGAAGCCCAGATCTCCAGCTCCAGTGGAAAATAAAAACAAAGGGCATTAAGCTTAATTTTCAGCAAAATAATATTTTAAAAACTTAAATTTTAAAAACAATATTTTAAAACTATTTTGTGAAAAAGTTAAAACATATTCAAATGGCAAGATTCTACTAATAAATTACTCCTTTTACATCCCATTCAACAAAAGACTTCATGTGGAAAGAAAGCAAACATAAGAGAATTTAGGGAAACCCAGTCATAAATAATATGACATAGCACTTTCCATAGCTATTGAGAAATCAAAAACATTCTTTTAATTATGAAATATATAAGGTTTTTGAAATAAAGAATTAGGGGAATAATTTACATAAGTAATTCAGAAAATTGTGCATGTCCTTTATGTGAAGTCAAATCCAAAGCTAAAGTATGCAAGGTCATTTCTGATTATTTCTTTCTTTCCACAAAAGTCCAAAGAAAAGCATAATGGATACATTCCAGTCCAATTATTAAATTCATGAAGAAAAGTGTGATTTAACATTTGTGTACTAGAATTTTTAAAAAATGCTAAATATTTTATGTAAGAAAATTTTATCAATATGTTAAAAGAATGAATAACCCTAAAGATATATTACATTTTACTGAGTGGTTCAGTCAGTTAAGCATCTACCTTTGGCTCAGGTCATGATCTCAGGGTCCTAGGATCGAGCCCGATTTCTCTGTCAGGCTCCCTGACAGGGAGCCTGCTTCTCCCTCTCTCTCTGCTCCTCCCCCGTTTGTGCTCTCTTGTGCGCTCTATCTCTCTTAAATAAATAAGTAAATAAATAAATAATTTTTTTAAAAAGTAAAATAAAATAAAACCAAATCTATATTAGCATAAAACAAATCCAATATCTTTTATAGTTAAAAATTAAAATAGTATATCTGTATCTTTAGTCTGAAATCGTCATACATATTTAGTAACTAGTGTACCATTTATTCACATTTTAAATAAAATAAACCTTATTACCTATCAGGAGAATCTTTAATAAAAGTCATGTATTTATAATTTTGGTATGAAGTATAAACAATAAAAGAGAAAATATTTTTAGAGTAGTTCACTCCAGATGTTACCAAGGTAACTAAATTCCACAGCTTTCCATATTTCATTCATGAGTAAATCAGTATGTTTTATGAAGAACAAATGAATGATTTACTTATTTGTATTAAATATATATCCACACATTTTATCATTTAAATAGTAAAAGAACCAGTAATGTCACATGCCACTATCTTATAAGTCAAAATTTAAAACAAAGGTTTTGATATCTATATTAGAAAAATTCAGTATAAAGAGTGAGCAGACACTAAACTGAAGCGAAATTAACCATTTTTTATTGTCTGGTTTCTTGTAACCACGTTACCGATTTTTATTTTCTCTTCTTTTTTTTTTTTTAAAGATTTTATTTATTTATTTGAGACAGAGAGAATGAGAGAGAGAGAGCACATGAGAGGGGGGAGGGTCAGAGGGAGAAGAAGCAGGCTCCCAAGGAGCAGGGAGCCCGATGCGGGACTCGATCCCGGGACTCCAGGATCATGACCTGAGCCGAAGGCAGTCGCTCAACCAACTGAGCCACCCAGGCGCCTTTATTTTCTCTTCTTTAAGGATACTTTTTCAGCATTTGAAACCACACATCTCAGACGCCGATATATCAAAACCAACTCATATCAGCTTATTGCGTTAAAGGGGAAATCTGCTTCCTTACCCAAGATAATTTGCTCCATCCTAAGTGGCTGCTGGCGTGTGGGTACCAAGCTGCTACACAAAAGGTACAGTGTTGAGATCTGTAGTTATGGCCTTTAGGTTCACAGGCCCAGAACGCTGGTGCTTCTCTCAAGTGTCAGCCTGGGTACCATGGCATTGGAACTAAAAACTCTGTGTTTGAGGGCCAAGGAGAAAACAGCACCTAGAGCTCTGGAAATTAAGAATGTCCAGGGTACCTAGCAACAGATGAGAATGTGGAATGTGATGACAGGTAGCGTGGCATCCAGTGACATCAGCAGGGCCATTGGATGTTTGGGTTGCATTGCTCTGAGGTTGGTTTTGCTGGGATGGATTTAGGGCTGTGCAGAGGACCAGCCAAGCGAGCTCAGCTGCGGCTCTTGCATGTAAGGTGCAGTAACACCAACCATAGAGACCAGCTATTCATTTTCTTCTTTCTCCTTTCCTACTCCCCATTCCCTCCACCGATTAGCACAGACCCTAGAAATACTATTTGTTTAAATTATGTCTAATGTCGTTACAAGATTCAATGGTTAGCTCTCTCTATATAAGGATAATTAACCCATAACAGTAAGTATGATGTGTATTTAAGTATATAAATATACATATATGTGTTCTCTCTATATATAAACATAATGTGATGTATATATATTTGAAATCTCCCAAAGCACCTGACCTACATTCTCATTCAGCTACTTTCAGTAGTTCTTCATTATGGCCTTTAGGCCAAGTGCCTTGGGAAAAATGAATAGGAAAATATATATATAATCCTCATTTTAAGATTAGTACTTGGAAATTTAGTCCAAAAATCCAGGTCAGCTGCGTATAGGGTCCAAAAAGCTTTTTATGGTTTTCCCCCAAATGCACCACAGTCCTCCGCCTCTAGTCCTTTGGTGCCTCCTTAGAAAACCTCCCTTTAATATCTCACCATAAAGCTAACTTTTAGATCCAAAATATAGATGTAAATAATGCTGTGTCAAAAGATTGGTACCTTAACACCCAAAAAAAGTAGAATTTTTTTTTTAAATCCTTCAAAATCTATTTGCAAAATGGAATTTAGGGGCCAGTCTCCTTCATCACTTTGTCACTCTTGACCTCTGCTCTAAGTCCTCTCCCAGCCTAGGGTCCCCTATAAAAAAATGGAAGTATATCCATTGCTAGACTATACCCTACATCTTTTTCTCTCCTTTCAAGTTTTTATTTAAATTCTAGTTAGTTAACATACAGTGTAATATTAGGTTCAGGTGTAGGATTTAGGGATTCATCACTTAACATACAAAACC